AATTTCCGTTATGATTCCTTAATTGTTTTCAATGTTTTACATAGCATGTCAATTCCAACACTATTATAAAAAAAAAAAAAAAATCCAACACTTGTAAAACAAGTAATGAGATGCATGCTTCCACTTTTCAGTGCCTGTAATGACATAATGAAGATGATATTAGCAAGGGGTATCACTTCGTGCATGACAAAACTATGTCCGAAATATAATAATTGGTCTAAAAAACACATCATCCTAAAAAAAGCAACTAAAAACATTTTCAAAAAAGTTTTTAGGAATAAGTTTCATTTAAAAATTCTATTTTTTCAATAAATACTTTGTGTGGAAATTCAAAGAAGTTCGTATAACGATCCAAACACGTCTTCATACAAAGCATAAGACCATATGCACCTCAAGCTATGATAAAAAAACCTTAATTTCAGCTATTCTGCTTATCAATACTATCATAACCATTATAAGAAATATTAAAGAAGCCGTAATAAAAAAAGCCATACTCCATCTTGCTGAAATGGGAAGAAACCAAGCACGAAGACGATAGCAAATGAATATGCATTGCAATTCTCAATTTACTATTAAGGAAGAAAGAGGCATAACATTGAGATCCATAAAAAGAAGTACGAATCATTTTCAAGTTCTACAAGACTACCAAGTAATAGGAGTAGAGACGAGGAAGTAGTTAAGATTGAACGTAATGAAGTATAAAAAGACTGCACTTTCAATATCTTGAGTTGATAATCCACGAAAATTGAGCTATTGAAGAAGATGTCGCACACAAAATTAGAGCTAAGCGAGCGAAGTGGAGACGTGCAACTGGAATTTTATATGATCGTCGCATACCAATGAGGCTGAAGGGCAAGTTTTATAGGACAACGATGAGACCGACTTTGCTCTATGGGGCAGAATGTTGGGCAGATAAAAAACAATAGACTCATAGAATTAGTGTAATAGAGATGAGGATGTTAAGATAGATGAGTGGCTAGACAAGATGGGATAGAATTTGAAATGAATATATTCAAGAGAATTTAGGCGTAACACCAATTGACGATAAAATCAGAGAGAGTAGATTTAGGCGGTTTGGCAATGTGAGACGTCGACCAAGTACAACATTTGTTAGGAGATGCGAGTTAGTTCAAGTGGAAGGACTGAAAAGGACAAGAGGTAAGCACAAAATGACATCGTTGCATATAGTTCGAAAAGATATGGGGACTATGACCTCACTGATAATATGACTTTTAATAAAGTCGAATGAAGAACTAGGATTCATGTACCCGACCGCAATTAATTAGGAAAAAGCTAAAATGGTGATAATGATGATGGTAATATTACCAAATACTTAGTCAAATAGTTTGTACTAATATAGATGAATTTAATCTTCCTCTTTTATAATTTTATTTTTCTTGTATTAAGTGCTTAGATGTACAAGAAAAGACACAAACTATTGCTATTCCTCACTAGAATGAAAAAAACAGCATTCAGTGGTAAGTTTCGAAGCTTTGTACAATCAATAGTGCCTGAAAGAAGAAACTCTAGAACATGATGTGAAAGGAGTAAACCCTAAGAATGGAGAGAAACTCATGCAGAAAAGCCTAAGCAAAAGAAAGGTTCTATGTGGGGGCATGTGAAGGTAGCTAGGCTTGAGGAGAGTGATTGGGGCTAGAAGTGACAAGATAAGCGCACAGCTAAATATGAGAGAAACAGAGATAGAGAGATAGTGAGAGGAGAGTATTTTTTGGCTAAATTGAGAGATGTTATTATGTCACAAAAGCCCCAATGATAAAGGATTTGGGGTAGCATCAGTTGGGTCTGAGGAGAGAGAAACAAAGGTGAAACCCAAAGCAAATGAGTGATAGAGATACCTGACAGGAAGGACAACAGTGATGAACGAGATGAGAGTTAGAGAGAGAGCTATCTGACTTCATATCAATGTGTGTGTGTGAGAGAGAGAGAGGTTAACTGAAATTTTATTTTAGTTTTGGGCTACATATAGTCCATGTTTGGATGAGAACTGAATATATAATAGATATAATATTGTGATAGACATTAGTGTATTCTACATAGACGTAGGTCTACTAGTTTCTTGGCTGAAACCATTAAATACATAAGCTTAATGTTGTTTTATGTTGGACTGAGGCCTTCACAAGTATAAGAGGTGTTGTTTGGCGGAAGCCATCATAGATTTTGTTAAACATAATATATAAGAACTAACAAATAGTTTTAGTTTTCCAAATAGTTGGAATAAGCCTCTGACGATGATGATAATATAAGAAATACTAAAGATAAGTACTTCTAGTAAAAAAAAAAAAAAAAGAACTTTTCATAAAAATCCTATATATTTTGTGAAATTGTTAAATAGCCTCATCTTTTTTTATTCTTTTTTCTCAAGTCCCTTGTATCATCAGATTTTACTTTTTCTAGAATAACTCCTTGGCACTTAAGTATCCAACCTAAAATTTTTCAATCTTGCGACATTATTTTTTCAGGTGTACGAGAGGTGAAATTAGGAACTTTTTTTATTGAAGTTAATCTATAGGTTGAAGAGGTTATATCTCTAAAGATTTTGAATCCTAAAATTTACGCTAGGTGGAGTTTTACCTAAAGGAGTAAATAGACACTTGCTTCTAGTTATCAAACAGGCCCTTAGAAAGAAAGAACCTAAATGGAGAGAGAGACGCGGAACAAAGCATTTCACAATATAGGGGTGGCAATTTTTTAATTGATCCAATTGGGTCTGGGTATGGGTTTACATATTGGATCCGGTGAGTCAGGTCTGGGTCCAAATATTGGATCCGGTGAGTCAGGTCTAGGTCCAAATCTTGGACTTGACCCCTACGACAATGCTATTGTACCCGGACCCGAACCTGACCCGTTACCACCCCTACCACAATGCTGTCTCTCGTAGGTCTAGAAATGTCTCTCGTAGGTCTAGAAAGGGAGAGATGAGAAAAAGGGAGTGGTTTTTCGAAAAGAAATGATAGAAAAAAGCAAGAGATAAGGAAACCTAGGGATTGCATCACTTTGTATTAATGAATAAAAAGACCAAATATCTGAGTGACTGAACGCTGGAATTTACACCGAGAATTGCTTGCATTAAAGCACGGTAAACTACAGATTGCTCAACTTTCCTTCTCGGCTCTAAGGGGCTATTCCAACCAATACAATTAGATCGCTTTTATGAAGGCTGATATATATATCTTGTCAAAGTTAAAACTAGGGGCTATTCCAACCAATATAATTAGTTAGCTTTTATGATGGCTGATATATATATCTTGTCAACTTCACTTTTTAACTAAAAGTTTTAAAAAGCACCTACTAAGAGGTCTTGTAGAAAGGAACAGGCCTTGAGCCTTATTTGCTGTACAAGTATCACTGGGGCATGTGTTAACTGATCTGTACCATCTCTCTTTCTAGTCGCCTTATTTTTGCTTGCCTTGGGGTCCATTAAGAGCTTCTATCAAAATTTAGTTTCACAATCATTCTCAATAAAGGTTGACATTGCGTACAATGTATCCCTTTTGCACTTTCAATGGTCAACCTCCCTACAATTTAATATGAGAAACAAGCAATCTGAGACATCGCATACAACGTATCCCTTTTGCACTTCCAAATGGCCGACCTCCCTACAATTTGAAATGAGAAACAAGTAATCGGTCGTCTCCGTGTTTGCCTTGTACATGAGACATACACTAGTTAAGACAAAACCTCTTCTTCTTGATTCCTTACCATCAATTACTTTCCAAGCCCTAATAGCCTGGGAAAAGACTAGGTTTTGAAAGGTTGGAAAGTTTCCAATCTTTCTGGACTGTGGGGTTCACCTACGGGGTTGCCCATGATCAGGCAATCTGTTATAAGGAGCTTACCATAAACTCACCACTTGGGGTGAGATTCTTTCTCGGGTATCATGTGCGTCTAATAATTGGTATAACTCATGGACTTTTTTCAAGTAGACATCAATGCATGTTTCTTGCATGCTAGTATTATTTCATATAAAAATTACCAAAAATGATTCAATATCAGAACTGGGCATTTGTACCCAGAAAGAAACTTAGGTAACCATGCACATAACGGCCACAGACTCTATGATGGTGCTGGACAAAGTCTTGAACTTTTCAAAAAATTGCATAATTAAATTCACATGACTTTACATGTGATAACATCTTTGGTACTTCGTTATAAAGATAATTTTCAATTTGATTTTCAAATGTATGCATCTAAAGTTTACTACAAACTTAGGTGGTACATTTGAAGATTTCAGGTGTTCGAAATTTTTTTCAATTTATCATGTATTAAAGGAAGACTCAAAAGAACATGGATGGAAATAATAAAGAGGACTTATAGTGACTTATGGTCTCACTGAGTGTATGACCCTTGATAAAGCAAAATGAAAGTGCATAATTCGGTAGCCGATCCCAAATAATTGGGATAAGTCTCGAATGATGACAGTGATTGGGACTATGTTGACCAAGCCTAAGGATAAGGTTCATTGATGGATGTGAAGCCTCCATGCAAACAAACATAGAACTGCATTTCAAGTTCTCTTTCTCTACTTTCATTTTCTCTCTGCTCTGATTCAAATGTCTTAACATTATCGCTAACATTTGAATAACATTTCAAAAATAATCCAATTCTTCAAAACCCAAGCTGTAAGCTGCTACATGATAGAGAAACTGAAAGCCTACAAGGACTCCAGGAAACAAAATTATTTTTCAAAAACATGGACCCCATCTTTCTCTGTGGAAGTCACTGAAAGACATATTACTTTGTTACAAAGAACACCAAGAGAACAGAGATTCCCGCTTGTTCTATGTTCCATCTTCTCTCACACAGAAAATTAATGAAAATATTACAAAATTGGATATGCAAAGACCAGGACTTTCAATGCTCTTTGCTTTTTAATATCTTTCTTCATTAATCATGCCTGTCCAAGAACTTCTCAATCATAACCGAGAATCCAGCAAAACCCGCACAACCAACACATGCTGCCTTTGGACCACCTGCAAGCATGTAAAACTAGGTCATCAAGGGCAGCAAAAATATGCACCAAATAGTATCTAAAGATCAATTCACAATAACTTAGTTCACTGTGTGATATTTATTACAAACAAGAAGCAACAATGAAGAGATCCGAAAAATTGGCTTGCAATGGTGGTTCTAGACTTGTCATGGACGCTCTTTGACATCTTTTCATATAGTCCACTGACAAAAACATAAAAAGATCTCCCTTTTTTTTATTAATTTTTTTTCTAGTGTGGCAGATTGCCTATTGGCAGGGCATGGACTAAACTTCAGTAAGAGCCATGCCACAACTAGACAAATCAAACAACAAAATTGACAACACAGAGACTCTGCTTGTATATAAAAAAAAAGAGAGGCAGATGAACACGTAACTCAAACTGGTGGTACTCTGTGAACGAAACTTCATGCTGCTATTATTTGAATCGATTCATCTATTTGACTAAGGGAGCTCAATCCCCTTGATATAGGAAGAAGTGCCATCATGGAGATTTCAAATGAGGGGCTAAATTGCTGAAATATCAAGGGAAATTATAATTCTCGGTCATTATCTACTGGGTTACCACCATCCATTAAAATGTACAGTAAAGGAAATAGATCGCAATCCACCAGAATAAAACTTGATCCTAGGTCAGTTCAACTCTCTTTCTTTATCATCCATCATTTCTACAAGGTAGATAAACAAAGGACGGCGGTATTTCCATAATTCATTAATGTCATAGAACACTTATCCTTAAAGGAATTCAATGTCTTAATACATGAAAGTGTGCCAAATAACAAGATATGTGTAAACATATGCATTCCTTGACATTAAGACATCCAACAAAGTTAAAAGAATGTCTGAATATCAGAGGATCAAATCTAAATGCCCATTTCAAAATGTGTAGATCCTTTGTACAAGTGGATTACAAAAAACATTTTCAGGTTGGTATTGATAAATATTTCAGTCCTTTGCCCGTCTTTTCCTGTGTATTACACATTCAGAATCATTAGCATCTGTTTTTTTCCTTTCTAATTTATTTTTCTATGCTTGATAGTTTCTACTCCTTGCGTATCTAAGGGTCATGCCAAGAAAAAGAAAAATAACCACAGATTCTATGGCTCAAGAACTCAAGCTAAAAGTCTCAATTACTTCACAGTCAGGGTGCATGGTATGCAAATTGTATTTAAGGCTACAGAAAGCAGGTATACCCTGATGGGTTCCACTTCCAGTTCCTTCCAATACAAACAATTCCAGATTAGCCTAGTACCCAGGCTTTTGTCAATGCGAACCCAAGTATTGCCACTCTCTTTCTTACAAAATTTTCTTACTGCCAAATGTCTGCAAGAATACATTAAACCCTTAAACTACCCTTCCAATTTTTGATAGGGTCACTAACCCTGACACCCATGCCATACAAACTTGTGCATATCCTCAAATGACTTTAATCCAAACCTGTGCATCTTCTTAATCAGAATTTCATTCATTGATGAAGGGTGTTTTGCTGGGGAAATGGTAACCAGAGCACTGATTTGGAAGACCATAAAATGAATTGCCCATTCTATCTATTTCATTTTATAGACCTAAAACCAAGCTTCATTTCATAGCTCCTAGACAATAGTTCATTTGAGCAACTTTGGCTATATCAATAGCTTAGCCTAAGCCTGGACACCAAGAATGTCATGTCTATATCCTGTCTAAAAGAAATGTGTCCAATCAATCACATACATATCAGGATACTAGCATATTAGCTTGATATACAAAATGGTAGAAGTCGCAACAGCAATTTCAAACCATTATAACTTGGTTGAAATGCGACTGATGGTAAGGTGAAGTTTTGTTCAGCATGTTCCAAAATAGTTGAGGAATATTCACCATATCACTACAAACATCAGCAATTCGGAATAAAATTGAATGCAAAGTGACCTTCATTCAAACAGTAATAGTTACACATGCCCGACATCTTCTTACAATTGTTGCAATCGCATAACGTCATTGTTTATTAGGATTTGTGTGCATTATATGGCCTCAACACTTGGTTCCTGATTTGTAGTTCATGTATTCCCCATATATTTTGTATACTCATGCATTTTTCATATTCATAAAATAAGACTCCCAATTTACATGAAAGTGTTTGGCTCCATAGATGAAACATGACATAAGGAGGTTCTATGGGATTTAGAGCAGTCGTTATTGTGATTTAACATTAGTGCCAGTTTTGAGCGGAATCTATGGTTGGGACTTAAGAGCGTTGCGTCATCCTCACCTCGACTTGTGGTTATGTCTTGGTTAGGTAGAGTGGAATCATCATCATCATCATCCAAGACGTATCCCAATTATTTGGGGTCAGCCAGTGATTAAAAAAGTGGACCGCCCAGCACCTAAGCGGTCTGAAAGGCCTGGGCGCATCGCCCAGGCCTAGGCGGCCAATCTAGGCGGTCGACTTTGGGTGGCCACCTAGGGCTTGTGCCCCTCCTAGGGGCAGAAATAAGTTTTGGTGGGGGTAATTTTGGTCATTTTTTTTGTATTAAAGAGCCAACAATTAATGTTTTATGTTCATTCGAAATCTAAAACTTATTGGAGTCAATTTTAGAGAGAGAAAGCCCCCAAAAAACTAGTTTTTGGTGAATTTTTAGGATCGAAGGGTTTCTCAAAGTTAACAAAAATTGATCAAAACATCACACATTGATCTTAGATTTACTTTTAGATGTTTTGCAAAGTTATTTAGGGGGTTTTTTTGAAAATTTTGAGTATTTAGAATCATCTTTGAGGTGGAAGTTTGAAGATTGAGCAATCAAACTCAAAATGATTTTTTTTATTGTTTTAGTAAATTGCATTATTTTTTAAATGTCTTCTTCGAGATCTAATAGGAGTAGTGATCTCGGTTGAAAATATGGCTATAACCCAGATCCTAATGATTAAAATTGCATAAGATGCAAGTTTTGTGATAAGGATACAAAAGGGGGCATAAACCGGTTCAAGAAACATCTTACTGGTATTAGGGGGGATGTTGTCCCATATAAAAAGACTCCTGATGTTGTTAAAGAGGAAAAAAACAATTTTTTGAATATGGTAAAAATGAAAAAAGATAAGAGATTTGCCGCTATAGTAGAGATTAGGTCTGGGATTCGGGTCAATTATGATGATAATGATAGTGATGAGGAAAGGCTTGGGGGGAAGTATTGACATGGGACATGCTATGGAGTGGTTAGTTGATGATGATGATGAGGTCAAGGGGCATGAAGGATTAACATGGGACATGGTCATGGATGCTTCAGGGACATCAGCTGACCCTCTTAGGGCCACTAGATCTTTTGCACAGAGAACAAGGGTGGAGGAAGAAGAGGCTGATTCAAAAGAGACGGAGGAGGACAAGGATGACCAATATGTCGAGGAGGGTGATGACTCCGTCGACTCCGATGAATATGATGCCAATGTAGCTGACCCAAGATTTTCTGATGATGAATGAATGATGAATGTTGAATAATTATTAAACTTTGAAGTTTAAACTTTGAATGAAGTATTCAACTATTGAAGATTCTTTTGAGTCTTCAAGTATTACTTTCATAGTTTTATAATTCAATTTTGCTTTCTTCCTCATGGTGGTGTACTTCAGTATTGGTTTGATACTATTTGGTAACTTGGTTTGATAATTTGGTTGGTTGGAAAATTTTAAGTTTTAATTGGATATGGAGTATGAACCGACTTATGGATTATGGTTATAGTTATGGAGTGTGTGCTAAATGCTAATATATAGTATAATTTGAATTATGTATTGCAATAGATATAACTGATACTGACATAACTACAGAATCCTTTTTGGATTCAACTGGGTCGCTCAGATTCTGGGCGCTTGCCTGGGCACCCGGCGGCCTGGACCCCCTAGGTCGCCTAGCCCTTTCTGAAACACTGGGGTTAGCTACACGAATCATGTTCATCCATTCTTCTCTATCAACGGTCATTCTCTCAATAAGACCAAAAGTCATCATATTTTTTCTCACTAATTCTATCCATGTCCTTTTGGGCCTTCCCCTTGCCCTTTTAAAGCCTTCTACTTGAACCAAATCACATCTCCAAACTGGTGTAGCACATGGCCAGCCTACTTAAATCTACTTCAGTGTATCAAAAAGCGTTAGGCGGGTCCTAGGCGGCCTGGGGGGTCCAGGCCACCCAGCGCCTAAGCAGCCACCTAAGCGGGCTCCCAGAACTTGGGTGGCTGCCCAATTGATAAAAAGTAAAAATCATACCAAATAACCAATATACCATATTCCAAGTTGAAAAAAAAGGATAGACGTCGAGAAGAGAATTTTGATAATCCATATTGTTAAAACAGTAAATTGTAAAACCATACAAGTGTAGGATATAAAAGTCAATACTCAACACAACAAAAATATACAGAAATTTAGAAAATATATACTCTAACAAAAATCAACACTCATGACTCAACACAACAGTTAACAGACTCAACGCTCAACACTCAGTACCAAGAGGCAAGAATCTTCAGTCGTCGTCATCATCATCATCAGAGGGAATATCAATAGGGCAAGCCTCATCATATGCATTAGAGTTGAGGCCATCTTCATCATAGTCATCTCCCTCTTCAATATAACGCTCGTCCTCCTCTGCTTCTTTTGAATCTGCCTCTTCCTCCTCCTCTTCTTCTACCTTCCTCTTACTAGTATGTGTAGTCTGTGCAGATGAGGTCCTAGGAGTCTTGGCTGCTCTACTCTTTTCTTTGTGCTTCTCTGAACTCAAATATTGTATAATTTCCTCCTTGGGAGCATGAGGAACATTTTTACACGGGGCAACATCCCCCTTAATACTGGCAAGGTGTTTTTTAAACCGGTAAATGCCCCCATTAGTATCATTTCCATAATAATTACATTTAATACGATTTTTATCACTTGGATTCCGGTTATAACCATACTTCCAACCCGGATCACCACTCCGACTAGAACCTGGAGAAGATACTTCCATAGAACAAGGCTTATTTTCATCCTTTTCTGGTTCTTCAAAATTCAGAAAATGTCTAATCTCATCCCGAACTGCTTCAAGAACCTTTGTACAAGAAGCAACATTACCTCTAACACCAGCAAGGTGTTTTTTGAATTGGCTAATACCCCTATTAGTATCTTTTTCACAAAAATTACATCTTATACAATTTTTGTCATTTGGTTTTGGGTTGTACCCATACTTTCAACCCGGATCACTTCTTCTAAAAGTAGTAGAAATAGAAATAGATCTATGACAAAGATTTTGTTATTGTTTTTGTTTTACATAACTTATAAATTGCTTAATCTCTTCTCTAAGAGCTTTCGAAACATTTTTACAAGGGGCAACATCCCCCTTAATACTGGTAAGATGTTTCTTAAACCGGTTTATGCCTCATTTTGTATCTTTTTCACAAAAATTGCATCTAACGCAATTTTTGTCATTTGGATTCCGCTTGTATCCATATTTCCAACCCGGATCTCCACTCCGACTAACTCCTGAAGAAAGACATCTCTTAATAAAACAAGCTATCTAAAAAATG